TATTAATAAAAATAAAATTCATTAAATTCTATAGCAATTTCAAAATAAAAAGTTCTTATAAAAAAAAAATTAATGACAAAATGTAAGACATAAAAAACAAAAGTTATTAATAAAAATTAAATTCATTTAAAAAAATAAAGAAGTTTCAAAATACCAAGTTTTTAAAAAAGAAAAACTGATTACAAAATGTAAGACATTAAAAACAAATCTGTACAAAAGTTGAGTTTTTGTATTATATTATTTAAAAAAATATGATTTGAAATAATTTTGAGATTGATGAATTCAATTATTTTTTTGAAAATAATTTTTTTTATTAAGATTAAAAGATTAAATTTATATTTTATTTTTTTGAGAGTTTTTCTCTGGCTTTCTCTAAAATTATTTATTTTAATTGATTTCATAAATTAATTTATTAATTAAAAATGTATGTCCCATTTATAAATGAGAATTAAAGAATTTAGAAATCAATATACAAAGATAAAATATGCTTAGCAATTGCAATTAGTTAGGATAATAGATTAATATATTCTGGATGTGATGAAAAAATTTTAGTACATATGTTTAAATAAGGAATTGTAAAATAATTGAAATATTTGAATTAACATGCTGCTGAAATATCTACTCTAAATATTTGCAGAAAGAATCATAATATTGTTTCAGGGTCTCTTGAAGGCTCAATTGTAATTTAACCATATTCTTTGATTGCATCATCAAAATATATATAAAAGTTGAAGGGCCATGATGATATTATGTGTTTAGCAATAAGTCCAATAATGGAAGACTTTTTAGTTACAGGTAGTCGTGATAACTAAATTAAATTATGGTCATCCATCAACCAATAATATTCATGTTCTTAAACTATTATTGATCATAATAATTGTGTATGTGGATTATCAATAAATTAATCAGAAAATTAAATTATATCTTGCAGCTTAGATTAAATGATTTTGATTTTAGAAAAGATAAAAACAATTAACTAATAAACTGGGTTTTATTATAAAAAATCGATGTTAATTAATTTGGGTATCGATTATGTAGTATAAATAATTCAATTTTTGTTTTTCAACCCGATTCATACGAAGATTAAAAATTGTATATATACTCTATTACTCAAGATAAATAATTTGTCAAAAGTAGCGAATTTTCGATAAAAAATGAAGGGAATGCCTGCTATTATTTTTTTCCTTCACAATTTAACTTGAAAAAAAATATACTTATTATCAAAAATAAAAATAATATAAACGTGATTAAAGTTTAATTATCAACAAGCCAAAATATACAATTAAATTTAAATTAAATAATAGGTTTTGGTGATAACTGTATTTTCGGAACTTTAAGTTTTGATGGAGAATATTTAATAACTTGGGATGAAAATTCTAGATAAATTTAAATTAGAAAATACTAAGAGATGTAATAAATTAATTGATTCATATTCTGTCAAAAAAATATTTCTATATCTTTACGCATATATGTAAAAGACATAGATTTTTGTTGACATTTATATTTACATCAATAAACCATTATATTTTCTATACCAGAATAATATTAAATATTTAGTTATATTATTTTTCTAAGCTAATCTTTCTCTTTCAATCAACCAAATGTTTTCTAAAACCCAATTTTATACCTAAACTATAATTTCCAATATAATTACCTTAAATATCCACTTATTCTTAAATTCTGATTAAATAGCTTATTAAAAATTTTCATCATCCATCATCAAGAATCTTTATTTTCTAATTCGAATCTATTTTAAATGGTAATGAAGTTTTTAATATAGTTTTAGAGCTATAATATTTAAAATATTTAAAAAGCTCTTCAAGCTGGAAAGCTTAATAGTATTTTCCAAGACGAAATACATTCTTACTCTTAAAATAAAATTTTCTTACATTATCAGACTCCAAAACTCAATCTTTCATTAGAAACATTAATTTTCAATTTTTTCATTACTACAAGTTGAATGTTAACGAAAATTTTGAATAAGTTATCAATAAACTGATTAAATTTATTCATAAAAGTTAATGTATGTACTTTATTTGTATGTTCACTTCCGAATTATTAATTACAGATATTATTTTTCATATAGTTTTCTTATGCAAGTATTTTCAAAATTCATATTTTGCTAAACTATCTCCAAATACATTGTACCCAAATATTTTAGTAAAATTGAATAGCAGATTTGCCAACCAAAGGTTCATATAAGGACTAAAACACTTATAATTTCGATTTATATACTTTTAGAAATTTTAATAAGAATATTGGATCCTTATATATTGCAATTTTGAACTTATTTTATTTATAAAGATTGCTATCAAAAAATTATAAAGATCAATAACTTTAAAGTTGTTGAAATATGTTTTTTGAATCAGTAAATGATTATTAAAAAATACCATAATTTAACAATATTTTTTATTGCTTCGTTTTATTTTTAATCTATGAAATTGCCCTCATTCATGAAATTCTTATGTGCTATTCAATTTTTCTAAATTCAATAATGAAATAGCTAAAATATTTGGAATCAATACCTTTATTTGCTAATATTTCATGATTAATTGAAATTAAAAGGGCCGACATAAGATTCTATAACTTTTTTATATTCTTTAAAGTGGTTTAATAGAAAAATATCATTCATATAAATAACGCTAATCATAAATTAGGAACCTCAGCTATTATAATAGTGCTGATTATTTGACTTATATTGATTGCTTTATTATAGGAATCCACGGCTTCAAAATAATGTTCAAGTTAATGTATATTGAATTATGTTGTTCCATCTTGAAGATTTTCCTAAAATTTCACTATTGTTATTTTCGAAAAAATCATGTTAATTTCAAATATATTTTAAAATAGAACACCTCTAGAAGGTTTCATATGATACAAAATTTAAACAAATTAAATATTTTATAAATTCCAAAATAAAAATGTCAATAATTTAGAATACCATTTAAATATTTCATTTTAAATTAAATACAAAATTATGATAATTTTTCAAGATGACAATTTTAATAATTAATTTTATCTTTCTATAAGTATGCCTTATAATTATTAAAATTTATTTTGATTGCCCTATCTAAACACACAAGGGCTTCTTTAAAAAGTTTCGATTACTTATAGTATTAGATAATTAATCAATTATAAAGCATATCCTTATATTAAGATAAATTATTTACCTTTATTTAAATACATGGCATCACTCTTAGAATTAATTGTTAAAGCTTTATTTTAATATAACACTGCCTTTTCATATTGTTATAATTTTGATATTATTGAATAAGAGCATTATCTTATTTAAGTTAAATTCTTACTCAAATCAATCACTTTAGAATAATAATTAATCGCTTTATTATAATTTTACCATTGATATATAGTTATTTTTCTACTACACTATTAATTCATTAGCTTAAATAATTTGAGTTTTTAACCATGAATAATATAACTTGTTTGCGTTTTGTTTTCAATTCTTTCATAAGCAATGTGAAGTTATTGTGATTATCAATCGCTTTATAACAAAATTATTTTACTCTTCACTATTAATATCAAATATTGCCAATAAAATTGTTCCAATCAGAAATATAAAAATCATAAAAATACAGAATAAGATTTGAATAAATTTCTCACAACCATTAGAAAAATATATTTTATCATCAATTCTATCATTAGATACAACTAAGAATACTTGAGAATTTCAAACATTAATTTATTTAGTAATCCTACTTATTAATTCTAAAGATTAAATAACGTGTTCGATCTATTTTAATTTATAAATCGTTTAATATATTAATTTTTATGCATAACCCTTTACAAATTTAAGATTTGTGAAAATAATAGAATTATACTTTTGATGTATAAAACATTGAACTATATGAGATATAAAGAATTTATTCGTTGCCATATAAAATATTCTTATATTCATATGTAACTAATTTATCAAAACAATATCTAATTAAAGAATGTCAAACCTAATAATGATTTTAGATTAGTTAAGATCATTGTTTTCGATAATGAAATTATATAATATAAAGAGTTTTATTTACTTAATACACATTATTTTAAATTTAGAAAAATTGAAAAAATATTTCTAATCAAATGTATTTTATTTTGATTCTTCAAATATACTAAAATAATACATAATTAATCATATTAGATATTTCAATACCCGATATTCATTTGAGTTGAAAATAGACTGGATTTTTAAAGATTTAATTATATGAAAAATTTAATTCTTATTATAGCAGAGAAAATCTATTTTTAAATGAAAGGAATTAAAATATTTTTTGATACATTTATTAGTTTAAGATAAATTTGAGATTCTAATTAAAACTAATAATATAAAATGAGAATAATAATTAAATATATCATCTCATAGTTAGAATCTCGTACTAACTTATTCTTGAAAAATAACTTTGTAAATTTAATTTATGAAATGCTATTGCTATCAATTTAAAGAATTCATTAATTTTAGATAAATCAAGTATAATAATTTATTACTTCAAATAAAATTCATGAAAAACTATTAAGTAAATCACAATCAATTTTTGTAATATTAGTACTTTAAATTTTTTCAAATTAAAAACTTTTATTTCTGGATACAATAATAAATCAATTTATATATGCTTAATCAATATAAGGTTTTACTTTTTGTTTGTGTTCAAGGACTCTATGAAAAAACAATAAAATTTGGAGTTAATTTAATGGGCTTGTTATTTTTAATATTTAGCAGATCAGACAGGAGCAGTTTATGGTTTATCTATATTTGAAAATTAACAAAAAATAATATCTTTTTCAGAAAGTTCAGATTTAATAAGCAGGTTAATTTTTAAATTAATTTTTCCCATGTATATACAATCCCAACAAAGGAATAATATTTAATAAAGTAAATACAATATCAATAAGTGATGATGGAAAATATTTATTTATTTGGAATAATGAATAGAAAGAAATACCAATAAGAAAGTATAAAGAGGGTGATATCATTATATCAGAAATATTAGCAATTGATCAAATAAAAAATTAAATAAGAAATTTTAAATATTTCTATATCTGAATATATATTATAAGTGGTAAATTTAGTTTCAAGAATATTTTTTGAGATTAAAATAGAAATAAATTTTAACAATTTGTGTTTAATAATAATGATAAATTTATGATTTTGAGAAAATTGCAATAATTTAAATGAGACTTCATTTATACATATATATTAAAAAAAATAAAATGATCGCTTGTGTCTTTTTTCATTATTATCTTGCCAAGAACACTATATTTTGAAAAGATTTAATATGAACTATTAAGTTATTCTCTTATAAAATTTATGCTTTTTATTTTATCATAAAAATAATTGATAATAAATAAGAATAATTATAATACATATTAAAATTCCCAATCAGTTTATATCAAACCTTAATTTTTCTATTCAATCTTTGTGTGTGCAACTAGATAAGATTGTTATTAGTTTTAACTTAACTCTAACTTGTTTATCCAATAATTACTTATAATAACTTCTCAAACTTTCATTGATTCATCATTTCTTCAAAAAAATAGTTTAGTTTTTAAATAGTTTAAGTCATAATACATAGAACATGTTGCTTAAATATTTAGTTACTGCTTGAAAAATAAATAAGCTCTATTAGCATCTAAAGTATAATGACTTAATCAGTAGAACCTGAGATAAAAATATCTTTATGTTAGATAATTTATATCTCTTATATGACCTTACAATTATTAAATAATTTTAATAAATCCATTTTGAAAATTCCATCTTCTTATTTCTTCTCTATAAGCAAAGATCCTTACTTATAATAATCTTATTCAATATAACTATTCAATTAAAATGAAATTTTGATTTTAATTCTTACAAGTAAATTGATTTTATTCTTATTTTTACATAATAAATTCTAAAACAAATTAAAATTCTTCACTTTTGTCTTTGATTGCAAAATTTTACTACAAAGATTGGATAATAAGCTTTAAAATTTGGATATTGTTTTTTGATCAATAAACATTTTTGATTGAAAGTTGATTATTGTGTAATTAAAGAGTTAATTATTCATTCATTCATTTTAATAAAATTAATAAATATTTTTTCAAATGTATAAAATACCATGTTATAAACATGATGGCTCCTATGTCTAATTCATAAATAATGATGAAAATAAAACCTAATTTATTTGCGATTAATGCTAACAGGATTTGTTTGACTTAAATCCAAGATTTAATTTTTAACATCTAATAAATATCAACAGAGTATTAAATTATGTTATTTAAGGCGTTGAAATCACCTGAATTTCTCATTTCAAAATTAGATGTATCAGGTGAGATGAAGAATTTCTTTGATCAATATTCAAAGTATGATGAAGTTAGTTTAAATAAATAATTCAAAGAGTTTGAATCTTTGATTAAGGATATTTAAGATGGATTTAAAAAGATACTTTAGGAATTGTAATAAAGTATTAAGTTATTTTTGGATTCAAAATAAACAATAAGATAAGATTTAGAATAAGTATGAATATTTATTTAATTTTACAAAGTTAATTAAATTCAATGAATTTAAATCATTTATAATGGAATTAGAATAATTAGGTGATTCTATCAATCCTTAAGCCATTGAATAAGCAGAATCAGATGTCCATAAATATTTTTAAAATATTACAATAAATTTTAAATAGAAGTTGAGATAGAAATTCCAAGAAAATGTTGAAACTAGAATACAAAAAGAAAAAAATGAAGAGTCTTAAATATTTCCAGAATTTAAAAAGTTATAATCATCACTTTAAGATATGATATTAAAACATAAAACATTTTCTAACTAATTATAGCCAGATCCTCCAAATGATTATATATTAAGTAACTAGTTTTATGAAAGAATAGTGGAATATATACAAAAATAGTTAAACATTTAGATTTATAATTCTAAATTAATTTATTCAGGGCATAAAGAAGATTTAAATACCAATTAATTTTGGAACAAATGCAATAATAAAGCTAATTTGTTGATGATTTTTAAATCATCTAAAAATAGAATATTTGGAGGATATTCTCCATGTAAATGGGTACATGATAAATAGGGTACTTATGTTTCAGATCAAACATTGTCAACCTTTTTATTTTCATAAGATAATAATGAAATATATTAATTAAAGAATGAATGTTAATAGTTCGCCATTTATTGTAATGAAAAATATGGACCTATTTTTGGAGGTGGTCATGATTTATTTATCAATTCTAATTTTGTGGATGGATTTTCAAAACTTGGCCATTCATTTTCACTTCCATCACAAAAATAAAAAGTTCATTGGAATGCATTTAACTAATATATAACTTCCACTGATTTATTTGGTTAAGAAACTTCAAATATTGTGGAATGCTAGATATTTGAATTAATATTCTAATGAAAATTATTTATTATGAGTTAGTATAAATTTATAATTTCTTATGATTTTTACAGATTAAATTCTCTTAATTAATATAGTTAAATTTAAAATACTTTTAATATTAGAGATTTCTATATTAAATGCACCAAAACATTTAGATCAATTCAGCTTTATAGTTAAGTGAATAGGATTAAAATAATCTTTGTTTTAAATTCTTGAATTTAGTGGTTTTGAGAAATTTTCATATCATTGAATAATAGGAAGAGACAAATTATTCAGAAAAATGTAAGAACTACTTGATTTTGAGGGAATTAAAATTTTGTAACATATCAACCGAAAAAGTATAAATGTACTTTTTTAATAAATAAGCATTTTGGAAAATATAATAAAGATAACAATAATTTATATAATTAAATATTTGAAAATTAATTTTGTTTTATTTGGATTGTCATTAACCATTTTCTGTGAATATGGAAGATTTTTATTAAATTACTTAATATAATTTTAAAAGAAAATTACAACTTCAATTTTAGAAAGGGCAATAAAAAGTTGATATTAAAATGCATATAAGGAAGATTATAAAAGTTTGAAATTTATGAAGAATATTTGGATAATAAAGGAAATTGATGTTTGAAAGCCGAAGTAGAATTTTAAACTTTCAATGAATTTATCTCAAAATAAAGAATCTCTAAATAAATATGAAATATATATTAATACATAAGAACACGGTATCTTTTATATATTATTCAATTTTAAAGGTTTTTCTTAAAATTTAACCTTACACTAGATTTATTAAGTACTAATAAGCATGTGATAAAGATTCTCTTCCCAATTTTATTGAGAATCTTTTTGTGAAACAAAGAAAAAGAAAATGTATAAAGGATTGTTATGTGATCACAATATAAATATCATCATGAGTCAGTTTAAGTGTAAAGGGGTGTTATAAAAATAATATAAAAAAAATTTATTTTGATTATTTATTTATTAATAAGAAGAAATAACATAAGTTAATATATGATCTTTTAAAATATTTATTAAGTCTTATTCCATAAAGATTAAAACAAATCTTGCTTAAGCTTATAAAATATAAACAATCTTTTTAGGATAAAAACTTGCAGGCAAATATTGTTAGAAAGCATCAATAGTAAGAAAAAAAATTAAATTAAAAAAATATTTGAGAGGGGCATCCAAGGGAAAAAAAAAAAAAATAGGGGAGAAGAGGAGAGAAGGCTAATATAGTATCACAATTGAAATCCTAATGGATGGCCCTTTAACA